TCTGGTGCTTCATTTCGACTTCTGTAGGAAAACATCGTAATAATTGTTCAGTCTACCGCTCCTAGGTGAAATCAGGCTGGCTATGTGGCTTGGATTTTAGTTACGTACAGGATTTCCTTGACTTCATGGGCTCTCCAGTGTGGCACGTTCGGCCTCAGCCGACAGGTTTTAACTTCTTTGTGTAGCTTGCAGAAGACGACTGTTGTTCATTAAGGAAATTGCGGCTGTCTCAGAGTGTACGGGAGTTTGCTTTTCCTGTCAAGTCTCCTGGAAAGACTGCAGTCGGAAAGGAGTTGGATCATCTTAAATTCAAGATTCTTTGAATAGTGCTAAATACCTTGCTACTCCATTTGGAAAGATTATAAGCTGCTGCGCTGACTGGCTGCGTTACTCATTAGAGAACTTGCTGGGACAACACGGTCAGCGGGAGACACAGGTTTGGCGGTGTCATTTGAGTGCTGTTAGGGAGCGTAGAACAGCACTGGCTTTCTGTCACCGTCTTTCAAGGGTCTTGTACAGCTCTGGGTAATTCTGGGCTTCTCATTTGGAGGCAGCTGGAGAATGGGCCCACGGCAGGGTGTAAAGGGGCAGAGGTTCTCCTAAAGTGTTTTTTATAGTAAATGTAGCTATGTAATCATTTGGTTAACTTGTTATTCAGCCAGCGCAGAGCAGTCTTTGGCCTTAAATCCAGCTTAGCATGTTGATGCATTTCAGTTGCATAGTGCTACTAGTGAGATGACTCGCATTTGACATACTCAGCCATTTGGAAACTTACTTTATGTTCAGAAACTTATTTTACGTTCAACAGGAATGCTAGAGTATGCAGTCATTTGAAAAAATAGAATAGGGATTTGGAGTTCGACAAAGGGAAGAATCTGGTTGTCTTCTGGCAAGTTTTTTGGTTCTGGTTATCTGCAAAGCATACACCTCTTGTCAGTATAAATGGAGAGTGCCTGTATAAACATTCTTGTTTCGCCTGTTCCACATAATAGTTTCTTGTATCATATTTCTTTTGACCTCGCTATCTGAAACCAATTACAGGAGATCCATTTGGGCTGCATCTATTTTCATAAGAAGCCCAGGCAGCAGTGTTTTTCTCAGAGATGAATATCAACATCAAATATGCTTCTGAGTGCTTTGTTATTTATGTTTCAGAGAGATTTTGTAGCCTTCAGCTCTCAAGAATGTGTCACGCTGTGCTGTTTATACATTGATGATATTAATGGGCGTAGATGTCATTTTTCATTTTAACGTTTGAAATGCAACAGGCTGATAGGTTAAACATTCCTGTTTTTAAAGGAAAGATATGAGTGACATCTGTTTCTGAAAAATACACATATATTTACTTTTTAAAAAACAAAATAATGAGTTTACCATCTTTTAGTGGCAGCTTTCATTTTACTCAAATGATAATACTTCAGAAATTGTTTTAAGGCATGCTTAAATCAAATACAAGGGTTTGGCATACAAAATGAAAGCAAATTGTATCTCATAGTATTGTTGCCAACAAATTACAAAAACTACTGCAATTTATCAACTTTAATAGGGTGAGTTATGTACAATTAATTTCATTTTTTTTCTGCTTACATTTTAGCTCTGCCAAAGCTGCACAGTAAATATTAAGAAGTAACATTCCCAGTAAATATTTTACTAGAAGACACAGTGAGTCCTGGAAACCATACGCCCAAATTTCCTCCTTATACAGCCATTACTAAAGCATTATAATGATTTTCATTTGCTTTATTAAAATAATTTCTGATCCTCAGTTCTTTTTGTTGCTTTTGTCTACATTGACTTTTTTGTATAGTTTTACTAATTTAGATAACTTAATTAAAGAAAAGTGCCTGCTAAATTTGAAACACATGTTATTGGAAACTGGATACGATTTCAAGTGCCTTAGATTCCGTTCCTGCTGCTGTTAACCTGAGGTAGGACTCAGCATAATTTTGATCTGCCAGATTTACAAGTGTCTTTTAGTTCGTCTTCACTGAACTGTTTTTAGACCAAGAGTTATTATCAAATTAGCTTACAGAAATTTATAAATGATACATGGGATGGGTGTTGAACTGTACATGTTAAACTATGAATTTGGAAAGACACTTTCAAGTTGTTAGTTTGTTTTGCGAAGACTTAATAGCAGCAAATGAATTGGTAGAACTGAATGTTTTATAGTCTTGTAATCTTCACTTATGAATAATGTCAGTAATAATCCTTTGAAATTAACAGTGTGTTTCTGGGAGGTTGTTTACCGAGTAGCAAAATCTGAAGTTGAGCAGCACACTGGGAGGAAAAAGTACCATAGGACAACTTCTGTAAGAACAAAGGCTAACAGTGATTTCTCCTTATGAGTTTTAAATCATCTCTGATCTCTTGAAATTGTTTTCTGTTCTTCGTCTGTCTCCTGTGTTTACAATAATCTAAACTGCCACAGTAAGATCACGGAAGTATTCAGGTAGTCATCATTTACAAGACATTCTGTATTAAAATATGAGCCTTTACTCCTTTAAAGATATCCCAACCAGCACATATGAATCAAAATAGTTTAAGTAGCAGAGCCTTTTATGCAAACATATCCTGTTGTGCTGCCTTGCTTTTTCATAAAGTGTGACTCCATTTGTAGTTAGCAGTAGGAAGCCATGCTTTCTTAGGCTGATTCCACAGGAGTGTGCTAGCCACAATTTAAAATTATACTGTCTAACTTAAATCTAAGCTGTAACACACTAGAATCCTCTAATTTTCAAGTGCTGTAAATGTACAGCTTCACCAGATGCTTGCATGCTTATTTTACTGTATTGCTGGGAGATGCCTTGGCTGCTAAGGAGGATGAGGACGCTGAAATAACTTGCGGAGTGTTCCAGTTATTCGCACCTATATATCAGCATTATATCACTGCAATTTCTTTTTCGGATAAAGGCTGTGTAATGAATTTTCTGCGACCTCCACAAATGAAAAATAATTAACTTTATGGTTTTTCCTGTTTTCTGTAACTCCAGATCTCTTCTCTGGTTCTTGGAGCGGTATCACCCCGAGCGGTGAGGGTGGTTTGCCTGTACAGTCTCCCATGAATTCCAGAGTGCAATAGCTTTCGCTTCCATTCAAGTTTCCCTTTCAGAGAGCTCTAAAGATTGCGAAGCCTTATAAATTCACCATAGATCTTCTGTTCATGCATTTAATCCATGTTTTGTGCTTAAACCAGTGCAAGATGTTGGGACCAAACCCTGGTGCCTCTGAAATCAACAGATATATTTGTCTCTGATCTCAGACAGAGCAGGATTGTCCTTTAGGATCTGCTCAAGAACTGTGAGTGCAGAAGAGATTACGCTATTCACATAGGAAACAGGGCATCCAGTGGTTCCTTGGTAACAAAATATTTCAAGTGCACTTTGAAATATGTTAACTTTTATTTATTTTTGGCAGAGAGAAGTTAGTTCTGTGTGCCTCGTTGCTTAGGTTCAGAGGAATGTATAGCCTTTGTAAAGCTGACCCGTAATTACTTGAGAATTTCATGAAACAATACGGGGATTGTTGTGGGAATGTCTCCAAATGTTAAAAGTCTGCTCTGCAAACTTTGTACCAGAGCCTTCTAAGGGGAGCCGAATCAATGTTGTTAGGAGATGGTGCTAGTGCATTCAGTTTGTTTACTTTGGTTTTCTATGTCTGCCTGCCTTCTCAGAAAACTTGCTTGGAGCCAGACTGTAGCAGCCCTCTCTCTGTCTTTTCATAATTGATCAGGGGATGACTGCCTTCCCTGAGGGTTAAGACGTGGCAACTTTTTCTGTTTGCTCAGCATCTCAATGCAGTAGTTCAAACATTGTTCACACCAGCTGGCAGTGTAATGCCATATGCACATCTTGTCAAAGCAACTGTTGTCATGGATACTAGAAACTATCTTAAAAACCAGCTCATTTGAGTCTAATCAAAATTGTACCTTTCTTTATCAGTTGAGAATCTTTATTATTTTAGGGAACATTGATGAAATGGCATTTATTGCAGTGTATTCCGTCTACAGTATGTTTTAATAACATAGATAATAGTGTGATGTATTTTAAAGCTGCAGCTGCTATTTACTGAACTGATTTTTTTAAGGGGGGGAAAGAAAGAGCTCTCCAGGTAGTTTCAGTGAAATGTTTTGAATCGGGTTTGTTTTCATTTCTTAATGAATACCACTTTGTAATACTTGGCATTTTAGAAATAATTTTGTAGGGAAAAATAATTTAGACTAGGCTTCTTTGGGTAAGTGGAATGTTTGTTTACATTTCATATGTTTAACTCTATTTTGCTGAGTTGGAATGAAAACATAAAATAAATGGAAACATTTTCTAAATTGATTGGGATGCTGTCATCCCAGAGCCTGATCTGGTTGGTTGAGTAGTAATTTCTTTGTTCTCTGGTTTTCCTAAGAATGCAAATGAAAGCCACTCATTTTTATTTGGCATTAAAACTGCACTTTGTTTTGTCAAAGGAGAGGTTTCTCCTTGAATTGTAAGTACAAAAAGTGGTTTTAATCTTCAATGAATATCCTTATTAATTCACTTTCAAGATAATCTGATGTTGATTTGTCAAATTTAATTACAGCTTCCGGTAACACTTGAAGTCTACTTGCTTTTGCTTCAAAATTGTAATATGAAAATGCAAATTGAATGATAATTTGCAAGGGAGTGGGCATTTTAGTTGAACACTCAAAGACAAGTTCCTTGTGGAAATGAGGCTATTGATGCAGTTTATGATTTTTCCTCTTCAAGCACTTTAAACAAATTAACTTTATTTCCTGCAGGATTTCATGTACATCCATAAATTCTAGTGAAGTCCTATGTATATACTTTCAGATTATTTTTTTATGTTTTAAGTAAAAACCAAACTGAAGTCTGAAATCTAGCAAATAAAAATTGAATAGGAGGAGATTGCATTTGTTCGATTGAACTTTTACCTAACATTAGCAATGAATAACTCATCTCTTTCTGGGAACTGGTGGAAATTATTTACTTTTTTTTTACTTCTAGGCACTCCAGGCAGCAAGGCAGCTGCTTTTACAGCAACAGACGAGTGGACTGAAATCTCCTAAGGGCAGCGATAAACAGAGACCACTGCAGGTTAGTAAAGCATCCTTGCTTTTGGGGCCTTACTGTCAGGGAGGAGCGCTGTGCTTGCTCACACGTGAGGGGGGTGTGTGGATGCTCGTGCTCTGATGCTGTGTGTGTGCATACTCACATACAACAGGTTACAGATTTTTCTGCTGGTGACTTCCAACTCACAGAGAAAATTCGCTGTAAGTTACAATAGCCTTTTGTGGCTATACACTCTTAAAAGGCCTAAGAGTAAGTCTGCGTTTGGTAGCTATGGTATAAATTAAACCTTTATAGAGACGTTGCAAAACTGGTGTGTGAATTTTATACATACATGGATTAAATTGTAAAAATTACTATTAAGACTAAGAGTAAAAAAGTATCCAGGAAAAAAAAATTAGCTAAATAACTCAATGATACTATATTTAAGTGACAAACAGAGAAGTATTAAGAAACTGCCAACACAACTGCATGAAATTATGAAGGAGCTGCTTCTGCCATTTTAGAAAAACATATGTCGTGGAGTTTCACACTGGGATGCTGTTACGCTTCAGATTGTATTCAGGGTAATAGGAGTTCTGTTACTGAATAATTATTTTAAATGCATTATTAGTAAAACTGTATATAGCGGTTTATTCTTGAAAATTTTTTTCTGGGTTTTTTTTTGAGGTTTTATTTCAGTTGTTGCTAATTCAGAGTTCCATATGAAATTGCATTCTGCTGACAGAACTGGTTCTCTCATTATAAATAGAACTGATATGAGGGTTTAACTGCTGAATTACAGTCTGTTGCAGACAAAAGATGTACATGAGAGACGATTTTATTTTGTTCAAGAAATAAAAAAGTGCAACTCCTACCGTTCTCTTCCTCACATCTATTTTTCTGGGTGAGCCTTTATCCTCTCGGGACTTCCCCTGCTTTCTGGTGGAATAGGATGTTTTTATCTCAGTTTTAGTTTTGGTTGTGCATAATGAAGGACCCCAGGCACCAGAATTTATCTTTTTTTCCACCAGTGAAATGTTGTGAAATGTGATCACTTGTGCAATTTCCATATGTAATTCATTGTCCCTTTTTCTTTGTGAAACTTCATGAAGCAATGTTGGACACAGCACACTGTTCTACACACCACAGCAGCTCTCTTCAAATAGAGTTTTAAAGTTGTATTTATATGTTCAGAACCAAACAAGAACTTAGGGAAACTGCTAAAGAAAATGGAAAAACAACCCAAAACCTTGTGAAGCTGGCATCCTGCCACACTGTAGTTGTAGTCCGATACAGAGACGTAGAAGTCCTTGGACCATCTCAGCTTTCCACTCTTTGCGCTTGACTTTGCTTTGTATTAAATATCTTCTAGGCTCAAGGCGCACAACAAAAGCAGTCATAAAGGCAGCAACTGATGAACTACCTAGGTTTTTGAAGTTTTTAGAAGTGTAATTGGTGATCTTGAAGTGTTGACTCATGGAGTTGATTTAGTAAATACTACGAAAGTAGCTTATTCTGCCAGCTCCCCATTCCAAAAGATAACATGGGCTGTACTAGGTGCATGCAAGGTCCGTCTAGCCCTGTGTCCTGTCTCTAAACTGGCCAACGCCAGACGCTAAGGGAATTGTATGAAACAGGCAAAAATAGTGATATTTTCCCGGTATATGTTTCCCAGTGAGGTTAGCTGGCTTTAATTCTCCAACTTGTAAACTGGAGCAGTTCAGGAGCTACTGACTGCTCTGTTCACATCCTCCACCCATTCATAAACCTTCTTTTCGAGGCTGAAGAGGTGTGAGGGTGCGCTATTTGTGGTAGGCATCGATGAAAAGAGAGAAAGCAGTGTCTGGAGACATTCATACACATAACCCAGAGGGTGATGAGATGGAGACAGGGAGTCTTGTGCTTTCCTACTCCCAAAGCACTAACCCTGGCCTGATACCTTTTAAATGCCATGGGATGGTGTGGTGTAGAGACATCCTGTATTTATGTGTTTGCCAGGAAGAGTCAGTGCCTCATGAGTCACACTTGCGAGGCAGGAAGAAGGAAATAAAGCAAATAATTTTCTTTTCAGAATTGTTACATGCTCCCTAAAGCCAAAATTATTGCTCGTGTTTCCAGCTTTTCCTTCCATGATCAGTATGTACACAGTGCCTCTTTTTAGCCCTGGACACTTCATTTGGTTCATTTTTAAATGAAAGTGGAATTTGCTTCTAGACTTTGGTTTATGTATCAAATACCATGTAAATTCAGCTATGAGCACAAACTCTAGTGAAAAGGATGTATAAAGGTTTTGAAAATGAGTCCTTGGAGCTTTTCTATTTCTGTCTTTTACTGTTACTACAGAGCTGTTCATTGTTCATTAGGTAGTGGAAATTCACATTTTGAGCATCATGATGCCTGTTTGACCAAATACTGTAATATGGGTCATAAAATTGTACAGTATTATTATTTTATTATGCCAAATTTAATGGTAACTTTAGCCAAAATCTCCTAGCAGTAGGAATTGCTAAATGTCTATAAACATTTTGATGTTTATAAGACAAAAAAACTTGTGCTTGTGTTTGTGTTTAAGGAAACAGACTTCTCCCAATATTTTAAAATACTTTAATATTAGTGTATTTCTAATTTCCTCTAATTTCAGACCAATTTACTAATCTGGCAGCTGGAGATATGTTAGAACTGAATTATAAATCTTGTAAAAACCTAATAAAACTTTTAAAACTAGCTCTCACAGCTGCAGGCAAATGTGGGTGTTAGGTAAACCTTGCCATTGCATCTCATGTGCTCCATAATTTGATGCAAACTGTTCTGTTGTTCCACGTGCCAAAGAAGGAAAAAAATTGTTTTTGTTTCAGTGGCCGTATTTTTGTATTTCATGGAAGTTTGGGGGAAAGTAGCATATGGTGGTTTTATGTATGTTCTCTCTGTTATTCCATAATGTATGAAGTATTTTAGTGACTTACAGCACCTACTAGCTAATCAGCAAGTTGAAAGCTTATTGAAGAACCCTTCAAATTTGTGTCCTCAACTTTGCAAAAACAGGGTGTTGGGTAAGTCATCAAGTTCTACCGTGCTTTACAGAGGGGATGGTTTTAGAGAACCACTGGGATTTTCCTAGAAGAATTTCAATGTCTTTTGTATCCTTCTCATGAAAAACCTTTTTAAATTTACCTCTAGCTCCATGATCCATTGTAAAGGAGGAATGTTGTTTTGGCAAAGGTTTTTGCTTTAGTTTTAATGCGAAAGCTACCCTTACCTAGTAGTCGTATTTTCAGGGAGAGGAGGTTTCTATTTAGATTGGAAGTTATCCTGAATACCTGCAAAAATTACAGCTTTAGATAGCCACTTATCTTGATCTACTATTACTTTCTGATTTACATTTTTCTGGGTTTCAGACTGCAGATGGCATAACCATTAGCATGTCTTATGCAAAACAGGAGGAGAAAAACATCCCGTCTGACAAGCTTGAGTACCAGTTGTGGTAGTGATTGTACTTTCATGTATAGATAGTCGAATAAATGTATTTGAAACATGTTTCTATATGCCATTCATTACACTGATGCACCAGTTGAATGGCTCCAATCAATACATTGATTAATGACATATTGCAGAATAGCTAAGGAGGGATTGTGATGAGAGTTGAGGATATTGTTAACCTGCATATGATGAGAGAACAGCATTTACTTTCCTACTGTGCATCCTGGAAAACATATTGCAGTAGTAGGTTAAGATTTCTGTGGTACTGGATTTTGTTTCAGAATATTTTTGTGTTCTGGAGAAGCTGTGATTGTGGTAATCCATGGTGAAACAAGCTGATTGCTTTCACGGATTTCACTCCCTATCGCCACATTTCCATAGTAGGCGTAACAGGGAAAATGTCACTTTGGCTCTTAGAACCCGTAGATGATTCTCCTGTGGCAGAATGTCACTGTCCTTACAACCATTGAAGAACCTGGTGTCATCTAGCCTGAGTCTTAAAGCTGGCAGCTTTATTGTTCTTGTTACAGTCACAGTCATGAGTGAGACTTGCGGTTCTTCAGCAACTGCGCAGCAGAGCACAAGTTTAACCCAAAGGTAAATGCTGTCAATTTGCTGCCATTGGTAGGTGTTCATGTACAGTATTGCAATTATTTCCCTTCCAGGTAGGCAAATCTTGGTGCTAAGACTAATCTGTCCATGATACACATACTGTTGCCGTCTGCATAGCATAGTGATTTGGACAGCGAGTTATAATTTTATTTGTTTGCTTTAAGAACTGTGAAAAGCCTAGCTATTTCTATTCCCGGTAATGTCTCTGAAGAAGTAGTTTATTTTCATAAAGTCATACTTTGAACTTTATCTCGATTGGAATAAATAGATAATTATCTTCAATCCCGTAGGTTAATGTATCTACAATGAATCTGTTAGCTGTTTTTCCTTCATGCTAGGAGACCTGTTGTTTCAAAAACAGTACTAATGCATTCGGTACTAGGATGGAGTGACAGGAAATCATGACTCCTGGAATCAAAGGGTTAAGCTCAGTGTGTACCAAGCCTGTTGTATAAATATCATGCTGTATGAAGTGTTGAGTTGTTAAGGTAAGCTTTGTTTATTTAGCATGAGCACTTTACTGAAGTGTAATCGTTTGATAAAATTTGGGAAAGTAAGTATACATTTAGGTTTAAATACTTAATGTTTGTTGCATTAATGCATAGTATCAGAAGAATCACTTGTTATAAAGAAATGCAAAATGCAAAAATGTAGCATGAAAATTTAGCAAGAAAAGATATTTATAGTCTCTTTTAGCCTACTCTTTTTGCTTTAGTCTCTCCTAGTTTGGTCCTCTCCCTTTGGATCTTCATATGGGTCTGAATTTAAAATTCATTGCACATAATAAATAAGCAAACATATCATTAATATTGTAACTTTTAGTTACTTTTTTAAACATACATAAGGAGCTGTTGAGAGATAAGAAACTGGGAATGTGGGGAAAAAGAAGCAAAAAAGGCTGCTTTTAAATTATATCCTCTGACTTAATGCACGCTGATTGCAACCATGCATGCGTAATGTCAGTAAAAAATTACCAGTTAAAAAACAGCAGAAAAAATTTTATGGATTTAACTTAGAGTTTTCTTCGCATTGCATTCAACAAAATTAGAAAGAAAGCAAACTGGTATAAAACTGTCTTTCCAGAACATAAGTGTTGCATATTTCTGTTTATCTAATGCGTGCTGCTCAGCGTAGGAAGTAGGAGGGGTTTCTATCTGCTGGAAAGCACTGATTTAGAAAGATGCAAGTGCCTAATATATAGTGGAAGAGGAGAGTAGTGATAAACAGTCTTTTTGCCTCTCGAGTATAATTCTGGAGGAAATGTGTGGCCTACATATGAGCAAACATTGAGGCTTGAGGTAAATTAAATTTGGAAGATAGCTGCTGGATAATCGTAAGTCCCATTTTCCCTTGCAAGTCTGTTAGGAGGAATATGCAGTTATCCTCTAAGGTGCAGAAATTTGCATCAGTGATACCCACTCTGAAGACAAGGATAACTGCCAAGAGATGGAGAGAAGACACGAAGTTATTTTTAGGTAAGGTTTGTGGGGGAGGGAAAGGAGAAATAGCCGTGTTCAAGCTTTCATGGTGTAGAAAACAGGGGCTCCATTTAAAGTAGAGAGATAAATAGAGTAATAAAGAAAAGAGCTGGACGTATTTCATGGATTTACAGTGGAAGTGTCTGTATGACAGACTTGCTAGGAAGTCCTTATTTACATAGCTACAAGTCTGCTCCAAAGGCTTATGTCCTGTCTTTGACAACCTCTTTTACTCGTGAAAACTTATATTTTGCATCAGGTGACATTTTACTGTAAAATCTTTCAAGAATAGATTTACTTTAAGTTTTGCTCTTGAAAACTTCAGTATTAAAAAATACATCTATAAAGAAATCGGCACTAGTTAGTGTGGTTTCCTTTTTAATTTAAAGTAAGTATCAATCACTTTGAAGTATTATCACTTACTGATAGACCAGATACTTGTCATTTTCAGGTACATAAAATATTCCAGCTGACCTTATGCATGATCGTTGTAACATGGAAAAATTTTTACTACCAGCCTTCCAGTGTAAGTTATCACATAATGGCTTCATCTGTATCTAACTGGGAGGAAAAAAAAACCTAGCTGGTGCAGAGATCACATCTTTATCCTGAAAATATTGCTGCAAGATTATACAACATTTTGGAGGCAGGGGGAAGAAGTATTACACGAGTTCTATTCAACAGGTATTGAGTATGAAGAATACTAATTGGGATTACTAAGTGATCAGGAATTTCAGGAGGCATTTTAATGTTAAACATATGTCTGTGCAGCAATCTGCCGCGTCACTCCATTACTGTGACTGTCGGGGAATCATTTGTCACCATATCATTGCCAGGTCTTTCCTTTCCCGCTTTCTCTCTTGTTGATCTGGTACTTCTAGAGGATTGGGAGGAGAGGGGAGAACACTCACACTCCGTTTCTTCACGCAGATTCAGAAGGGCAAACGTTCAGAGAGTGCCTAGGTCTTTTCACAGTGGCTTTTACACAGCAGACCGGCAGACCCATCTGTCCCTCATGGTAGAATCTGCAGCCTGTCTCATACCAGGAAATATTGCCGTGCGTGATATGGATGGACTGGTTTTTGTATTCCGAGCTATAGGAATCGTTGAGCCCTACAGAGAAGTTTATCATAGAATCATAGAATGGTTTGGGTTGAAAGGGACCTTAAAGATCATCTGGTTCCAACACCCCTGCCATGAGCAGGGACATCTTCCACTAGACCAGGTTGCTCAGAGCTCCATCCAACCTGGCCTCGAACACTTCCAGGGAGGGGACATCCACAGCTTCTCTGGGCAACCTGTTCCAGTGTTTTGCCACCCTCATGGTGAAGAATTTCTTCCTAATATCTAATCTAAACCTACCCTTATTTGCCATACTTGAGCAGCTGGAAAGCACTGTTCCCCTGCAAGCCTCCCAGTGCAGTCAGTGTGCACATTCACCATTGCTCCTCTCTGGGCTGCGTGAGCGGTTCCTCTGCGGTGGTGGGAGGCATAGGTTCACTTGAGCCGCTTCTCCAGGCTCTTGCAACAGGTCGGATCAGCCTGATTCTCTTCCCAGTTGGCTCATTGCCCAGAAAAGCTTGTGAAGAGCTGAGAGGGAATGTGTGAATGGTTCCCCACTCAGTGTGCAGCTCTATTAAAGGGTCTGCTCCCAGGCAGGGCACTAATTATGCCAGTTGAGGATCGCACCACTCAAGCAAGGCTCTCTTGATACTCTTGAATTTGAAAAACGCATTAGTGTACATTGATTTAGAAATTACCAAGGAAAAGCAACTGAACAAGATATTCTGTGAACACTCTCAATGGGTGTAGGTTTTTAAAAATAATTTCTAGTTAAACTACTAGGAAGGAAAACCTCTTTTTTTTTTTTTTTTCCAGAAGGTTTTTCATTTCATCAGGCAATTACAAAAGTCAAGGATTTTTTCTACCAAAATGCAAAGTTCTCTGACTAAATAACGACGAATCTTCAGTGAACAGTAGGGAATGCCCCTTTCCGTGTGGAAATCCAGTCTCCCTGCGTAGCCATTCCAGACATTCCTGGTGTAGATTACTTCCCATACTTCTTTTTTGCAGATGAATTTTACTTTGTGAATTGAATATTTGTCTTGAAATTTTCTAGTCATTAGACATTATTTTATAGTTCGTGTGTTAGTTGTCCAGTTTCTTTACCAAGCAGGGGGACTTTACTGAGAGTGTAGGGAGCAGGCTAATTGGGAATTTGAATGTATGCCAAGATCAACATAGGTGTTAATTTTAGTTTACCTTCACTTGGGCAGTATGCATGTAAAATTGAATTTATAAGTGTTAAAATTATCCAGGTGATTATGCGTAAATGTTACGCAGTAATGCTACAGAAAAAAAGCATGTGAGCATGGGTGGTGCTGAAAAAGCAGTCACACTGCGGAGTGGAAGATCACGTCAGCCCATCCTGTTGGGGAACGGGGTTGTCCAACAACTGCCACTTGGATGTTCTAGGTCTTTTTATGCCTTCTGATGCTTCTAATATAATTTTCCTGAGACAGACAGATGAGGGTGTTATGAAATAGAATTAATGGTGAAAAATTTACTAAACACTACTTCGATGCTTTGCTACTTGATTATGTGAAGCTTTGAAAAGCAATTGTGCAATAATAATACGTACAAAGGAAACTGTATGGTGTGCCAACAAGATCACTATGCTTCAAGGGTCTTACTGAAAACCTGAAGTATAAATGAAGAAAGAGATTTTCCCCTAAGTGTTCACAGTAAATCCATTTATTCAAGAAATACTCTTTCAATAGGATAGAAAAGACAGCCTACACAGTATTGAGGAAGACCTATACAGTAACCCAACATATCAGAACAAAGTATCAAAATTAACTTGGTACTTGTAGAAGATGCAGCTGCAATTTAGTGCACAGATAGCTATGGGCTTGATGCTTAAGAATAATCAAATTAGCAAGTTAAAGAAAAATACTTCCCAATATAAGATATGGTGTGGTATGAATCCATACACAAAACAGCGTTTGTTTCTGTTTCAAGAACAGTTTAGGATACCACGGAAAATGTTGCTTTGAGGGCATAGTCTCTGAAGTGTAATGCAAATTCAGAGGCGAATGGTGATTGATGTTTGCATATACAAAAAAAAATCTCTTGATTAGAAGGGGTTGAACCCTTACTCCGGGTGAGGAAGAAAAAATCCCTAACTGCAAGCCTGTCATAACAACAGGGGGCAAGTATTTCGCCCATGGAAAAGAAAATAGGAGAATATGGTTCACAAGAGGGCTGGGCTGTTGTACAAGAGAGATGTCTTTCAATAATGTAATTTAGAAAGTAGATTCTAATAAATTTTAGAAAGTATAGCAAAGTAGAAGGTCATGTGTTTAAGAACTTAGAAAAATTTCTTCCTGAAGTTTATGTCCGTCACTTAAAATGAAAAAGGAAGAGAGAAGCTCAGTGTGTTGGTTTCTGTATGACTGTGAACGATCTGTGATATAACACAGGTGAGAAAAAAGAACATGCAATCCTAAATGAATTTAAAAAGGTGTTTCCAGTAAAAATAGGGAAATATTAATGCCATTTTTAAAAGGTATCTTGGAGACATCATCTGAACAGTAGAGATATGCAATCCACCTGATCTCTGGTGCCTTATTAGTATATTAGAAATGTGCTCCATATAGGTTCTGTTGAATGATTCAGGGTTCTAGTACTGATGCCCTGAATTTTCATGGAATGAAGCTATCTCATCGTTTTGGCTACGGCTGATAGCTTAGCACATTTGTTATATACCTACAGTGACATTGTGTGAATTCTATGTACATGTTTATGATGTACAAGTCCAAGAAGGTTTCTTTCAGACCAGATGCATAGGCTGAAAGGCTATTGTTCTATGCAATTTGGGTCAAGAAGCAAAGGTCAGGAAAGAAGTAATACCTTTTATACTCCTTAAGAACAGTTTTAAATATGGTAACATGTACCTAAGCTAAGCATGAATGAACTATGGAAAAGAAAGCTTCTCACTGTGCAGAGACAAGAGTTTTAGGACCACTCTTCTAGTAGAAGTAATGGAAGCAAGAGACACCTCCCCCCCCACACTGACTACTTAAAGATAAAGCTTGACCAGCTTAGAAAGGGACTTACATGACATGAATTCAATAATAAAAGAAAATTAAATTAAATTAAGAGACTCAGAAAGTCTCTTCTAGTCCTGTAGTGTTGTGGGATTTTTTGTTGTTGCTGTTTTTTTTTTAAAAAGCTGAGGAGTCATGGAAGCCAATAGTAGTATTCTAGGGAACAGAATAGTGTCCTGATCTTTCAATAAGCATATTACAGCATATGCATAGATTCCTTTTAAAAGGATTTTAATGCCTTCCTAAAATTATAGCATGTACATAAAATGCCCTAAAGGACATGTCAGTTGATTATTTTTTCAAAAGTCAACTTTATTTTCTGTATATTTATGCCCTGTTTCACGAACAGAAAACACTGAAAACTAGATAGCAACTGGCATTTAGGAAAATACAGATGACATTCTAAATTCACAATATTTCATTTATTTAAATTCACTTTCAGTATATGACCATTTTGAATACTTTAATTCTTACTCATTAGATTACAACAAAAGAGAGTGATTTCTGTGAGCATAGTCTAAGTAGATGTAGCTTCCACATCATTTTATATAGTCTGGATTTTTTCAAGCTATTAGATACAAAAATGTATTGACGTCATAATTGTCAGTAAGACACAGAAGAAATACCACTGGATTAATAAATACAGACATTTTTAATTGGAAAGCATTCATTCTAAAACATATTTACGTGGCAATAAATAAACTGAGACAAGAGGCAGAATTTATTTTTAAAAATCCCATAATATTGTAAATATTTTTTCTTCCAAGAATACCCACTTTCATAATGTTATAGACAAATTATAGCATTGAGGTGATTGTCTTACAGTACCTGAAAATAAAGTGAATTAGTCTTAACAGCAGACTTATGAGATCATTATTATTGCAACCATTTTAGGGCCTGGCATATAGCATGACCCAATAAGTCTCAGAGCCAAGATTAAGAGAGGGGGCTCTTTTCCACACTGAGAAAAATCATACCAATTTAGCGCCTTGCAGAGAGTTTCGTCTATGAAAATGTTTGGTTTGGGTGGGGAATGCTTGTAGAGAGTTCTTTGAGTGAGTATTTAATCATTATCATTTGACTGGGGTGGTACAGTTTGTATTGTAATACTCCAGCCATACCTCTAGAAACAAATAATTATTACGTTGTGTATGATCCTTTAGAATAGTTGTAGTTAACACACGTAAGTGCCATTGTGTCAGCCTTAGTATTTGTAATTAATAATGTCCTAAAATACATCCACAGATAGTATTGTATCAATAGCTGGTAAGACTGATTTCGTAACCCTCTTGGGTTTCGGTAACACTGTCAAGATAAACTGAAATAGTAAAACCTGCCAATTGTGTATAGTGCTTGGACTGTCAATATAAAATGTCTATCGAATTTTGTTTGATTTATCAGATCTTTGGGGTTTTTTTTACTAGAAGTACAGTAAGAGAGAAGTTACTAGAAGTAATTTTGGAAAGGCTTGACTACAGTAATGGCATCATCTTTAAAACAAATTCTAGTGTAATGAAAACCCACAAAAAAGCTTAGACAATGCTTTTATTATGTGTGGAATTGCTGAGCTTTTTTAAGACAAAAACCCTAAATAATTTTAGTGATAGCAGAAGTGGACCCCTTCTTAAGTAGGATCTAGTGTGTCAGAGATGTTGATGCACCACATCCTTTACACAGAAATTAATTCTCACTTAAAAATCTGTGAAAGTCAAAGAGTTCATGAGCACCTCCTAAGCAGAATCCTATTTCAGGGAAGAATCCTTGTTATTTAAGTCACTCTTTTTCCCCCATGAAACTGTCAGCAGGAGTTCTAAAATGTTCTTAAAACCTTTGCTTTACCTTGCAGATTGTTTTATATTTTCCTTGTTTTTTCCTTGGAGAGTAAACAGCATTAGCATAGAGCCTTTAGAATGATGCCACCAAAGTGGAACAAGAAGTTGTTCTTGCTGTTTTAGTTCTGGGAAATTTAGTGTTGTGATTTTCATTTCATTACATGTAGACTTTGTTGGTGTTATTATTAATTATTAATTTCAAATATGGTTTACATAAGAAGGGTATCCTTTATAGAATCATAGTTAGTGTGCTTTCTCCCTTAGAGAAAAAACAATGAGAAACTGTTGTTTTTGACAAATACTGGTCTAGACACTTGGCTTGACTAGCAGTCCACTATCAAAACCCCTTGATTTTTAATCATAAAATGCATTAGATTACATCACCAGTGCTGATCTCATTGTTAGGATGAAATTTTTGTTTTTCATACTTTTAATATTTTATTATTCTTACTGTTGCAGTTATGAAAGCTTTGTGTTAGGGATTTGGGTGTTCTTGTATGTATAACTGCACAAAATCTTAACGGGAATCAGATTTCCAGAGAGTGTATGGTGCATTCTGGCAACAGTAACAGAGAGCAAGGAGGGAAAAAAAACTGCAGGGACACGCAGAGACATGCATCATTGACATGCCCATTAAAGTGCGACTGAACAGCGGGCAGCAAGTTTATACTCATACATCTTTGACTGTGTTTCATGCCCAACTATGTGAGCACAAGGTATAGGTATACATTATTTACACTTTTCAGGGAGTACCAAAATCCATTGGCTCAAGTTCTGAATAACAATGGATAAAGGAGAAGGAGATATCATCCATACAGATCCCAAGATATCTCTGCTCTTTTATCACCCCTCCAGCTCTTCTGGTCTGTCTTTTGTGTTTTGTGGCTGCAGAGTTGCCTTTTAGCTACACTGTAAGTGCTGAGGGCTCATAGGATCTAGTTGTTCCCTTGCAGTTCAAGGAGTAAAAGACAGAAAATTAAACTAAAGGGATGATGTGTAGCCAAGCTCTGGAACAAGCATCTGTGCTGTAAGATGTTATGGATGCTAAACATTTAAGTTGGCTCAATAATCTAGTGAACAAATTAATGGAACAAAAATCCACCACTCCAAAATGCAAATTCTTCATTTTCATAGTTTCTAAAGCCCAAAATGCTGGGATGTGGGGAGTGGCCTGGGAAAGCATCACTACATCCATACACCACCGTGCTTGTTTACTCTTCTCTGGGCACTGAGTGTTGACTGCTGTTAGAGGCAGCCCAGTAGTCTAAATGATCATTTGGTTTAACTCAGTGTGCCATTCTTCTGTCTTTTCAAGCAGCATCTAGAAACCAAGATATTTTCCTTCTGAAGACTCGCTTTTGGCCATCCAAGTGAACTTGACTTTCCCCGAAGAAAAGTCTGGTTACACCAGCAAACTTCAGAGTTTACAAGTCATAGTCCATTGGACTTCTCACAACTGTTTTTAGTCATGCTTTTAAGAAGAAAAACTGTAAAAATATCTAACTTTTCCCAGTCCAACCTCTTAAGGAGGACTTCTCTCTGTGACACAACATTGACATCAGCAAGAAGTAGTATGCATTTTGCTAGCCAGAATTATTCTGCATTGTGGTGGAAAGATTGGTTAATCTCATTAAGCTCAAGGGAAATATTTGGGTCCTCAAGCAATTTCAAGCTACCTAGCCACTTTGTAACCACACAGTCAATCAGATGCTACACATGTGTTGTGATCTGAAAATGATCCCAAAGGGACCTTCCAGAAGGGAAAGGATGTACCTGAGTTGCATTGGGAGCAGCTATCTGGCTCTTCCAGGAGTCGGTAACTTTACTTTGGCCATGCAGGCAATGAAGGCCAGACCTATAGATTCCTGGTTACACACACAGGACTGCAATGTCTCTCCAATTGTATGGGAGAAGGATCTTACAAATTTAAGGTCTTCAGTTCCCATTCAAATAAGCCACAGTCAATAAAAAGATGAAAAAAAAAAGTGTCACTGCCTGCTGTAGAAGTGAGGGAGCATTTGAAAAAAGTCTCAACACCATTTTTAAAGTTAGTTCCATTCTTCTGATGTATCAGTCTGTCATCTACCAGTAAGTTGGTGAAAACAACCATGAAATACAGCGTAAAGTTTAGGTAGAATGGCTAATTTTCATTTTAATGTGGGGTATAGCCCACATATAATCTTATCTAAAAAGCTACTATGCAAATAGGTATAATAAAAGTCTGAATTATTGACTGTCCTATTCTGAAATAAGAGAAGTTCCCATGTTGTGGAAAGTTAAATAAATCTGAGCTAAAAGAACATGACAAGGAACGACATAGTGGCAGAACACAGACTCAGCTTTAGACAGTATTTATTTAACTCTAGAAATTTTACAAAAGCAAATCACAGCATAAATATATTACATTTCTTAAATTCAATGAGTTGCAGTAGAAACAATAGTCATAACTAGTTTATGTTTAGGAAACCTTAAGGTTCTTTCTAACTAATAAGATTAATAATTTTACAAGGCATAAGGGTTGCGAAGTGTTTGTTGGTCATAGTTATCTACCAGAAAGGAAGATAGTCGCTGAGATAATTGTGCATTTGATGTTCTGCAGTTGGTTTTTATACTCAATCTAGTGATTTATACTTGTAATTGTATGCAAAATGTAGTTCTCTGTAGTGTAAGAGCTATTTTTCTTAAAATATAAAGTAAATTTTCATGAAATTATGATAAATGATTCGTTTAGGAGTTACAGAAATTGCATAGACATCTTCAGGCTTCCTTATGATGAGGTAAAAGAGAACAACCTGACAATACACAATTAGCAATGCAAGCCCCCTGCAGCCAGAGAAAGTCAGTAGGAGCAAGGGTTACTGGTACACACTGCCTTCGTGGGAGATGCTACATTGACTCAACCAACATAAGGGACTGTGCTTAATTCCATAAGCAATAGCACTGGGTAGTCATAGTATAGTATCTGTGGCTTAAGTTACACCTCAGAACTTCCGTTGTAAGTCAATGTAGTTTGCTACTGTCAGTACATTGTCCATGATACTGCATATACATTTCTTTGATCCAGACACTCAATCTCTTGCCAGCAGCTTACTGAGGTGTCAATAGTTGCACAGTATTAAGGAATGTGAGGCTGCTTTTAGGTAGAAATTCAGCCATGAGATTTCTTAAGACACCAGCAGGACTATCAGTATGAGTTGTCGTCTTTTCTGAAGAGAACTGTTTTAGAGGGTGTTCCCTCACTGCTGGGCTGCCTTGCCTAAAAGGTGGTTATTTGGTTCTGCCTGAATGTCATCCCAGGACAGGAGAAGAGGTAAGAAATGAAGCAGAAAGGCACTTCAAAATCTTGAATATTTATTTCGATATGCAGTTGAGACTTTTTTGTGGTAGTTAAGATACTTTGTTTGTTTCTGGGTATAATGTGTTGCTAATTAAAATATCAACTATATGTTTAAAAACTGATTATTCAGTGTAAAAGTAAATCTTCCATATGTTTGATGTCACTGAGAACAATTGTATCCCCTTGGAACAAAGAAGTTCTACTAGGCAGTGGTGGGAATTAAAAAATATTTCATGTTTCCTTTTTCCTAAGACTGCTGTCTATGTTTCTACCCTCTGAGAGATCCAAGCAAGCAAAACCTACTTGATAAGGCTATGATAAAATAGCTCACCTTAAGCATAAGACGTATATGAAAGCTTAGGGTATGATCTTACTCCTTGGGGGCAATTTATGATTTACATCTATAGTTCCTTGGGTCTTCCCTCGTGCCCTTTTTGTAGATTGGAATAACATTGGCATCTCTTACATTGAGGCTAATTTTGGATAAAAGATTGTGATAATTTTTCTGCTGATCAAATCTCCCCAGTGTAGTCATCCATCCCCCTCTTCCTTTGATAAGAGTGTTTATCATTGTAAAAAATGTGAAGGGAACTGAAGACCTCATCAGGAGGAATGGCTGCTTTTATAACTCCAAGGCAAAAGTATGCATACGCAAACTCCACAGTGGTTGCTTTCAAGAATTTTCTGAGTTTTGAAATTATGGTACAACTTTGCATTTGGAATGAGTATGTGTGAAAAAATTGATGTATGTGTCATGGTGTGTCATTTGATGTACGTATCACGGTTTTTAATCTAACATCAAAAGATTCTGCATACGTGGGGCTTGTTATCCAGCTTCTGTGTGTTATTATATCAGTAGAATTATTTTTAAACATGTTTGGTGAGATCTTTGTCTCTTATTTTTTGTTTTTTCTTTAGCAGAATTTGTTCAGCAGAATTTTGGTTTCTAGTAATGTTTAACATCATGAGGTGGTTTTGTTCCAAAACCAGGTGTTATGGATGTACCTAGATTTAATATGCAGGAGCAGTTTAACTTTGTTCTTTCTTATTTATTTCTGTAAGTGTATGTTTAATTGTGTTATGTGGTATCTAGAGGTATACATATTAGTTGAAATGTCTGTCTGGTTGGATAGGACTACAGCAAAACAGTGGGTGCTTGCACTTCGTTCTGCTACATCAGCACAGATAGTTTGTGACTCATTTGACTCAACTTTGGGGAAATTTCCTAGTGTGCTTGATACCACGCTCAGCAAAGGCTGATGCAGTATCTCATCCAGTCAGCCTACAAAAAAATGTTAAAATACAGAATTTGTTGTATTTATTTTTAGCTTGGAGAGGCTAAATATTTGGTGGAAGAAAGGAAGAAATTTCCCAGTCCAGAATCCTGCTAAGTCACCTACTAGGAAGTACCAGACATTTGTATCAAAATAACAAATTAAAGGATTCCCAGGAGTTACGCAGTGCGGCCTCTGCTTCACGTTGCAGAATGTCTCTCTTTTACTAAACCTTTTTTTTTGTAGTAGAGGAAAATGATAAATTACAACTAAGTTAAATACACACAGTTTTAATATAGAAAATTGTCCATATCGTTTGGCTTATTCTTTGCTCATTTTCATTTCTGATGACAGCTTACAGTGGTCCTACATCATGTCCAGGGTGGTTGTCATTTTTCTCTGCTGCAGTTCCCAATTTTACTGACAGTTGAAATCTCCACTTGTTTGTGCTGTTAGGCAAGAACTGGCAAAGCAGCGTCAACTCTGGTTGATGTGACAGCTTCAGGCTGATACCATGCTCTTTGCTACACTGAAAGAATCATCAGAAAGTACAGTATTATCTCATTTTTCTCTTTTATATAAAAATTTTTATACACTTTTTGGTGGCCACCGGAGAAGCTGGTATTCCATGTTACAAAGCTACTGTGAGTGGCAAGGATTCAGTGTCAGAATGACACCTGGCCCTCCGATTTTTAACTGGACTTAACTTTATTTCGGTGATCAGTATTTCAGATGTAACAGAGTATTTAATCATGGGTTGCGGGCCAAAAGGATGTCCAGTCCTAAATCTTTGTTCTGAAGCACAGAAGAGCCTCCTCTGCTTTTAGTAAAACCATCAGTGCAGAGGTTGTAGACAACACCCTAGATAGCACACAGGCTCTGTAATGGGTTGTTACTTTTCTTGTGGAGGCTGTGGAAAGGAGAGCCCGGGGTTCGATGTTTGTGCTTCCGATTATTCACTGAAGAAGAATTCAGCATTAGCATTAGTATTCAGCATTTTGCACATGGTATTGTCCTTCACGGACATCTCTGTATCAGGTATGTGTGATGTGTTCCGTTATTTCCCACATGTGCTGCCTTTTCCTCATCGTTCTCTCAGTCTGAATGAGGTTAACACCACAGAATGGGGCCTAATGACAGTCAGAATGCGTAGGAAAAGAGTCAGTGTAGTAAATGACTGAATTATGTCTTGTTTGTGTATCAAAAAAGGAGCATCATACATGTGGGAAGAATTATTTCCTTAGTGTGAACTGTCATTTTGAATTATCGGTCCACTGTTGTTTTGTTGTTACTTTTGCGCTGCTGGTACAAAACACGAGGTTTTTATAAAAGTGGAAAGCACTGAATTTGAAAGAAAATGAAGTGGTGACCGTTCAGTCTTATTTTGCTAAGGCATAAGAATTTCATTGGCAGGCTTTTATTGTGCTGGAAGTTGACTGCACAGGTTTTTAACATGCTTTGCGGGAGGTGTATCTACTGCAATAAGCTGTAACACGTCGAGTTTCTGCGCCTTGTTTATCTAGTTGTGAAAATGAAATACTGATTGTTACAGGCAACAAAGTAAAACAAAACAATTAAAAAAAAGCATTTTAGTCTCTGTATGTTATCTCTGATGAATATAAATTGTCCAACCCAGAAAGCTTATTTTTGTGGATTCATGTAAAAGCAAAACAAACACGCAAACAGAGCAAAACAAAAACTTGATGAGAAGGGTTTGTGTGTTTACGTGACTCAGTGGCATATTCAGATTATGTGGTGTGATTTGTTCTGCAGCTGCTTCAAATTAAGAACAGGTGTAGAAGGCAGATTATGCAAATACTCATATTAATGTAATTGTCAAATTGGTCTGTTTATCATTGTGCCTTTAAAGAGTAGACCATACTCTTATTTTACATGTAAATTAGCTTTATTCTTGAGAGCTACTATTGGA